ATTTAATCGAAGTACGTGAACAGAAAAATGAAAATTTGACTGCAACTGGGGAAATGCACAAACATAGAAACTTACGCGTACCCGCACACAAACGCTTAACGGCAACATAACCAGGCAGCCATCGCCAACACCTGTAAGTGTTTTTTGCCCATTTGTTCGCCTCTTGCGCTCTCCAACATTTTCAGCTTTTTCCTGTTTTTTTTTTGCCAGGAGGTATGTGTGAAATGCGAAAAGTCCTTTGCACTCTTGCACCTCCGTGTACGTAGCAATAATATAGCGCATAAAAAAGTGCACTCATGCATTTTTTAGCACACTCACACCAACCAGGCAACAGGCAAAAGGCAGATAAGTGGTTAGATATTTTCACACACACTCTCTGCTACACGTATACTACCACCATTGACACCATTTGCTTTAAAGGAAACTGTTGCTATTCCTCACTTTGTTTGCATGTATGTATGTATGTATGTTGATTTTTAAAACTTTTCTTCTTATTTCATATACATATATATAGATAGATATCTATGTGTTTAAAAGAAAGAAATTCTCCTGAGATATCTACCAGAGCTGGCAGAGATACGCGCTCAATGTTTATATATATATATGATATAAATGTGTATGTCAGACGGTGCAGACGTCTAAGTATCAAACGAAGCAATCGTGGAAATTAATGACACTGCCCGGCATGACTTGGTAAAAATTGATGTGTACTCGTATATATATATATATGTATTGTAGTGTGGGTGCATTTTTATTCCTTTACATTCGTAAACCATTTCGTGCGGTCTGTCGGACTAGTCATCTTCAGTCATCTTTGAGAACATGAAACCATATTACAGTCACCGAAAATCATTCTCACAACCTTGGGGAAGAAGCGAACTACGCACATTCATGCATACAAATATATGCTATATAAGGATTCTCTAATGAATCAACAATAAAATTGTTTACTTTATTGACGGGTAATTTCTGCGTAATAAAAGCGAAACGTATAAAGGAACGCAACACGAAAAATAAACCACAGACGAAATCAAACTAAGAAATTTTGTTTCAGTATGGTCTCAGCAAAAGAAGAAACAAAACGAAATTATAGTGAACATGTTTTAAAAGGTACTCTACTTTAAATAATTAAAACATTTGCTTTGCATCGAGATCTACATCTACTACAGCTGAAGTAGTGCGTGGCTGACATTTCTTAATCTAGCACGTAGAAAATGTCTAGTTGGAATGGTATGCCTGTTGACCATGTTTATTTTGAAGTAGTGTCCCAATGCAGTTTTGGCATGTTTGCTTTTTCGTATCTCCACCAAGTCTTCTCAGTGATCCTGGTTAAAATTTTCCCTCAACAAAGTAAGATTCTCTCTCTCTCTCTCTCTCTCTCTCTCTCTCTCTCTCTCTCTCTCTACCTCTACCTCTCCCTCTCACTACTTTTCTTTCCCTCTATCTCTCTCTCTCTTTCTCTCTCTCTCTCTACCTTTCTTTTCCTCTCTCTCTCTCTCTCTTTCTCTCTCTCTCTCTCTCTCTCTGATAAACAGCAGATACATTCCTTGGGTTAAACAACACATTGCATCTGTTTGAATGGAAAAACTAATTGGTTTCGTTTAATTAATTTTAATGTTTCCTCTCACGTTGAATAATTTATGTCCTTTGAAGCAAGTCTATATCACACCCGAGCTATAAACCTATACCTGGCATCGGAATCTACTAAAAGTATTAAAGAGTTGCCATCGGGTAATTATAATTTTTCTCATACAAATGCTAATTTTCAACTAAGAACGTACATCTGTGTCAGTGCGTACGCAAGATCCTTTTCTCGTTTTGCTAGATCTTTATTTATCCTTTTGTTAATTTCATTTTTAATTCTTTCACTTTTGTTGAAATCTATGCGATTCAGCTGGTAATTGGATTCGTAGCTAGATTTTATTATATTATACATGCACATAAATACACAACGACACAACAATACCACGACAAATTCATCAAACCGAAGTTCGGTTTACGGTTCCCACTATAGTGCGAACTCACCATTGAATTTGTATTTTAGATTCTCGTTAACAAAAATTCGGTCGGTGGTACTTAATAACGTATAAGTGGCTGCGGGATATCGAACCCAAAATGTCATACTTCAGCTCCAAAAAAAAACAGCTATCGGGCTTTTATTTAAAGGGAAAATCAAGTAAAGTATTGGACATAGGGAGTTTACTTAATCTCTGAAATTCGACAAAAAGTGGAACTACAGGCTTGCTAGAAACTTTTTAGGAGAGAATCTGAAGAGGTGGTATTTAGGGCCGGTTTGAGTAGAGCGCAGACGAGCACATTACATATGGAAACTATAAATATCAAAGTCCTCATTATTAAGAAAAGAAGCATTAGACAATTTAAACTGACCCTTATAGAATTAACTCAATCTATTAAACTTTGTTTCACATTTCCTTTTTTCATAGTTTCCATTCATTTCATTTTTTCACCAAATTTCCAATTCTTATGTTCCGTTCGTTGTTAATTATTTAACTTTCTTCCTCTTCGTTGCGTTATTTTGTTACATTGATAATATCACAAATATTACTTTGCAAATGCAACGAAGAAGAAGCCCTACTCGATATCAGAGCAATCGAATACCATTAACCCAAAATTGGATCATATCGTGCGATGGCTCGATAACGAGAACGGTACAGCAAGCCCAGCTGACTGAAGAGCTGAATGATCTCTGATTGATTTTTGACTGACAATGTTAAAGCCTTCAATAATTCCGAACACTCTTGAACATTCACTTTTGACCAAAAGTGCTGAGCACTTTAACTTCCGGGATATTGATGGCTGCTTTAGAACAACAACAACAGTCTATAAGGAATATTGTGTACAAGCAAGCCCCTTATATGCATCCACACTTATCGAAGACTAATCCTCAGTTAGATCGTTTCTTAAAATTGCTTTAGATATTTTTCTTTGTCCTGACTCCGTCCCTGCCTAGCATAACAATGTTACTCTTTGTACACCGATGCATCGTATTTGTCAATTTATAACAAACAGCATTATATTCTTATCTAAAACAGAACCGAAATCGAATCGAGTTCGAGAAGAAGGGCGGGGTAATAAAAGTATTTGCATACTTTCGAACACCTCTACTATAAGTCCTTCCAACTGTAGGCTTGACCGTTATAAAGAAACCTTGCAAGAACACTATGCCAGGTAAGTAAGTATCAATTACCTGAAAAAAAAAACAACCGACATTTTCATTCCATTTTACGAAAGCTGACAAATGATTCGAGTGGGAGTTACCTTTCGTTGTAAAGAAAAAGGGCATAACAAACTCATCTTGAGGTTGGGCTTATCGAACCGTAAGATTTGTGGAATTATTTTCTATAAAATATCATTGTTGAGGAGGACACTTTTAACTCGGTTCCTAACATAAGCTCTCTCTTGCCATTCCAACAGAGCACGAGGGCGTTCAGTAGTTAGGTATTTCTGATCTGTGCTTGTATTGTTTACGTGACAACGTACATAGAAGCCTTGCAAGCCGAGAAGTGTTTGTCCAGTTGCTTCCCTATGTTTAACTTTTCTCTTAGTACGCTTTTTCTTTTTGCAATAAAAAGTTGACTGGTTTGAGGCAATTTACAAAGCAAATAATGTGAAAATCGTTACTAAGCCACACAATGACGCTTGTTGACTTTGATAAAGAGATGCTTTCAAAGAAATGAAGATTCATAAAATGCTTAAACTATATTTCCTTACAACAATATCCTCTCATAGTTCAGTCTTCAGATATTTCATGGCTCTTCAAAAAAATTATGATGGACTAAGCTTTCATAGAATAACAGCTATTGTTCCGTCTAATAACTTGAAGAGGCGACTTTTGGAAAGAGAACGCTTCCATACCACCACAGCTACTGGCGAGAAATAGCAGTGCGATTTTCTATTGAAAGTCTCTTAGAGTGCAAATAAAATCTGACTTACTTTACTTGATTTCTGTAGCATACGGATTTAATTAAAGGTTAACTTGTCCAACTTGGCAAATAAGTCAATGACCTTTTCATAGGGCAATCCCATTTTCGTATGCTACATATACTATGTGCTATGCAATAAAAAAGATGCGAACTAGCATGCAACAAGGCGACAAAAATGTAAGCATAACGTAAGTCTTTTCAGTAAATCGACTAAAAGACTATAAAACGCAAAGTTATTTAGAATATATGATGATAAATACGCAAAAAGATGAAAAATAATTGAAAAAAGCCCCTTTTTTTTATGGCTTTCGCGTTTGTTATTTTATATATTTTATTGCAATCGTAAAGGAAAATATCACTGAAAGCAAAACATAAAAACTAAAACTCACCTGCATCTAATTGCGAAACTTCGCTTTTATATTAATTATAATTACTTTAATTTATAACATAAGTATTTGTTTCTATTATTATTATTATTATTATGCATTTTTTACGTGCTATCATTTATTTTATTACAATTCATTCAGTCTATTTTATAAAATAAATATTTTCAAAACGATGAATTTGAATAAAAGTCATATTCATAGTTTTTATTAATAACCAACCAACAACAAATAACTCGCCATAGCCGGTCTCATTGAGATCATATTAAGATCATATTCATAAATTGCTTCAAGCAATGTTTACAACACAAAAAAAAAAAGAAAAACAAATAATTAAAAAAAAAAAAAAAGGAGGGAAATAATTGCTTATAACCATAAAGAAAGTATATACGTGACGTCATAAAGTACATGCACAACTGATAAAAACAATAATTGTGGAAGCATAGGCAACGCGTAAAATAGCAACAACACGTAAAAACCACTGGAATTTACCCGCAAGTCTGATGGCGAAATCATATATAAATAAACAGAGAAGAGAGACCGACCGATACGAAAGCGACTGAGTGTTAGACAAAACAGTTATGTTACACATTATAACTCTATGCTATTCAACTGCATATCAACAAGTGACTCAACGATCGCACCTACTTGCTTACACTAAAGTCTCGGAGAGTTTAAATAAAAAGGTAACGAAAAAGTCTATAAAAACTCCACTTATCTATTGGCCACTAATTCAGTTATTAAAGAAGAGTTAACAGAGTTACAAGTCTTACGTGAATTGTGCATAAAAAACCGAAAATCTTATCGAGTGTAAAAGTGAAATATTGGTGAAAATGTTAACGAAATCTGTCACCATCGCTAGCTTATTATTAATCACGTTTACGATGACTACGCTGCTTAGCCTGTATATTACAAAGGCCGAAGCACGGCCCTGGGATCTGTACGATGAAGTTAGTGATCTTTTTCAAGCCATGACTCTGGATGAGGTACCCGGTGCCAAGGAGACTAAAGAGAAAGAACCAAAAGATTTCTGCCGTATGCCAGCTCGCAAGGGCGTCTGCCGCGCTTTGATACCGCGTTGGAGTTACGATGCTCAGCAAAAGGATTGCGTTGAGTTTAAATTTGGCGGATGTGATGGCAATGATAATAATTTCCCCAGCTATAAGTCGTGTATGGCCGCCTGTAAGGGCATGTAGAGTAACAGTAACTTTCGACGACACAAATTCTGAAATAATCCAAAGTGCTAAGGAAAAAATAATTCCGAGATTTTCTAAATCTTGTAGTAAAAAATCCGCTTAAAGGCACCAGATGCCCTTCATTTTTTGTTCTTTTTTTTTTTTTTTTTTTTTTTGTTAGTTTTAAGTTTTGTTATGTGATAGTGTTTTTTTGATAGATTGTAAAAAGACTGTAACTAAAATTTTTTATTTTATTTTTCATCGAACAAATTATTTCCGCTTGAATTCATTTCTCTTATACTTTACGAATTCATTTCTTTGTTCGATTATTTTCATCTAGAGTTTAATTAATTTATTCATTTTATTATTTAATAAAAATTTGAAGTAAATTTTTTTTTTTTCACAATTTTTTAGAAAATTTTATTTCCAAACTAGTGCAAGAAAATTCTTCCATCAACTCTCTCTCTCTCTCTTTTGTTAATCTATGATTCCTCTGTTTTCGTTTGCATCCATCTAAAGCTTTCCATTAGTGCTCTAACTAAGACCTAATTGAAAGTTTGGAGGAATAAGTAGAGCAACTCCTAAATAAGCAATGCTGTGAACCACGCTTCATGCTTCTCAAATAGATAGAAACTCAATTCATCAATGGTCGAAAAGAGTTTGGTGGAAGAGGAAATATCAACGCTAGGAAAAATCTTTTCTCGGTGAAGTAGGTTATATAGATTTTGCAAAATGTCATATAAAGTATACAAGAGCCCTTAAATTTTTCTGGTAATTTCCTTCCTTGATGACCACAGACTACGTAGTCCTAACCAATTTGGCAAACAGTTTAGTTCAAGCAACTAATTGAAGAAAACATACTTCATTTTTTTTTCATAAAATGGAAAACTTAAGAAGTCGGATCCTATAAGAAAAAAGATTAATTGCAAAGGAATCTTCCTCGTGGATATGATGATTGCACTAACATGCTTCGCTCGTTTGTATGAAGTATTGAACAAATGGTTTGCTCTATGATTCGATTGAACATAACAGGGACAAGTGAACACAATAGTGACAGAAACAATTCAAGTCGAGGTTTAGCGAAAAAGAGGTCAACAATTCCGGCAAAAAAAAGTATGAATACAAGTTTCTCCACAACTTTCTACAACACAATCTAACATTCGATATTGTTTATGTTATATATATCGCTGCCTAACTGCAACAAAGCTAATTAGGAGAAGGTGTTAGTGTTAAGTTTTCATTCATATCCGTAATGACAGAGATTAGATGAATGAGAGAAAATTGTTATCACAAAAGACTTTGCTATTGCTTAGAACTGACGTTTGCAGTTCACAATGACGAAATTTTCTTTCGGTTGCATGATGTAAATCTTAGTGAAGTGTTAGCTTGCAAGACCTCGTACGTCTCGATTTACAACTACAAGGCCTATGTCATGTAACCTCGTTCGATCTCCTTTTCTTTTATTTTCTCCGTTTTTAGTTTAATGTCATCACTACGATGTGTAAAGAACAAGACGAAGATAGATTAGGAAAGAGATCCGTACCAATGTTTATTAGCTAGATAAGAGTCAACCGTCAAGTGCTGTCATTATATTTGACGTAAGAAGAAGGCGATGGAATACTACCTACATTCACGAAGATGCCGTCCCGCAGCATACAATAATTCTTGCAAAGGACTAGCAATACGCAACGCAGGGCCCATTAACGAAAATTTATATGCGAAATATTGCGCTGTTCAACTTGTTATTCAGCGAACAAAGGGCAGTCTCGCGATCAAAAAGTCCTATCAATTTTTGGGCAAGCACTCATTCAAGGTCATGCGTCATGAGTATATAAACCCTTCACTTACTTGCATTATACAGTAGGTATCTTAACTGGATCATTTCGTGACTTTATGCCATTCAATTATATAATGAAGTGATTGCAAAATTGCACTTACACTAAAGTAATGGATAATTTAACAAAAACCAAGCGAGAAAATCTATAAAAACTCAACTTATCTCTTGGCCGCTAATTCAGTTGTTGAAGAAAGGAAAAGTGTTACAAGTCGTACTCGATAGCGCGCAAAAATCACTTGCTTTACACGATAGGTATTTCAATTGGATCAGTCCATGAGACCATAACTAATAAACGTCTTACAAAAACCTTCGCATGGGCACAAATGCGAAAACAAAATTAAGCGGCGAAAAGAGAGAGCATACTGCTGAAAATGAGCCGAGATTATCGATTGACTGACATTTCCTTCAAAAGGTCATCTCGACGACCATACACTTTGCACTTATCGCTGAAGAGAAAAGAGCTGCACATCCAACGAAAAAACGAAGTTATTAAGATGTTGTTATGGAGTACTATTAATATGAAGCTGTAGGAAGTCTCTTTAAATCGTTAAAATTTTTAATTTTCTAATATTTTTCAAAAAAAATACTTATACCGAATTATGCGATCGCTTATTTTACCAACCTTGGCATAGTGCTTTAGTGATCAAAATTTTACGATCTACTAACTTGTTTTGTGACATACATTACTGGTGGTACAAGAATATATTAAATTTTTACGGATGCATATAACTCCCGCAAGGACTTGAAGTACACCCACCTTTTAGAATACCGATGTAAGCACGACTGCTGTTTGTTCGTGTATTCTTATATTCAAACTCAAATTCGCATTGTTTGAGATATTTTGATGAACTTTGTTGCCCTCAAGGACCAACTTTCGAAAATCAACCTTCAATATCCAGTGGAAGGGGAACCTTTTCTTCTGTTAACTGTATAGGAACGTAGGCAACTTTAAGGAAACTTTATGGTACAAATGCTAAATAGAGGATCGGCATTTGAAATTTAGAATATATAGTTTTTATCACTGGTTTTCATTGACGTTCCATGACTGTTTCAGTTTTAGGGAGAAGCTTATTATTATTATTATTATTATTATTATTAATTTAGCCAGAGAATAAATTCGAAGACTAAACTCTTAAAGTGTCTAAGGCATTCGGCTTTATTAAAAACTCTACCGCACTTGAGATTTGAACCCACGACCACTAAATTGCTAGTCGAGACTCTTGCTTATTCGGCCACTCAGGCGGATAGGGACAAGCTTAAATGCCTTCAGCTTTTGAAACAGGCTTTAACTAGCTAACGTCGTGATCCGTCCATCCGTCCTTGTCGGATTTCCTCATAAAATTTTATCATTATGAAGTTGTGTTTGTCGTAATTTAGAAAATGTTTTTGTTATTTTTTCTCAAGTCTCGTTTCACTACAACCTAATTTCGTACTACACGCATTCTCTGTGTTAGACGAGTATGCGATTATATTGGTAAAAAGCTTGATACAGTTAAGTCATTCAAAGCATTACGCTAATCCACAAGTTGGGTTAGTGAATACTATCGAAGAAAATATGTGAACTTCAACCTTGAAGTTTTAATAAAAATCGATAATAGGGGAATATGTAGGCAAATGAAAGATTAACACAAAATAATCTCAATATTCTTCTATATTGTGAAAAATTGTCATATACTCATAGTCATAGTCCATAGTTGATAGACTATATTATGTGTATGCTATGCGCGATGAACTCGGACATCTAATGTAGTTAACAGTAAAAAGCATTTGTTTACAAAATTGTTAACACTCGATGAGCAAATCGTAAAACGCCTCGTAGTTCAATGACTTCGAGTATTGCAATAAAGTACAATAAAGTTTTACAGTTTGTGCGATGATTGATTATTTGCACAAACATGTGTATTGTGCAAATACACACCAACAAAAAAAAAAAAAAAAAAAAAAAAAAACCACAACAAAAGCTATTTTTAGGAAGTAATCACAATAACAAAAATCAAAAAAAAAAAAATGGAAACAAAAAACAAATTTAAAAATTTAATAACATTTAATTGACGTCCATGCATGCAAGCGATATTGCACGTTAGTCGAGTAGAGACTACAAAATTTATTGCACTTTACAGAAAATGTAAGAATCATTTTTATTATTTATTATAAATCATTCGATCACTTTCTAGTTTAGAGCCATTTGTTTATTTTTGTGTATATTGCGAGCAAAACAAAACAAGCCATTAACAGATCATTGAACTCCCGCCACTAGCCGCTTGCTAGTGCATGATCGTTAGACTCTTCATTCAATCAGCGTTGGTGCCATTCAGGCGTCGTTATATGGCATATGGCATTGTAAAGCACTGCCGTCACTATATTGCAAATAATTTCTATTCAAAGCATTCACACGCTCGTGATAATCAATAAATATTATCAGATATCCATACACATTTATAAATAGTGTGAAGAAAGAATTGTTTACTAAAAGAAGAAGAAGAAGAAGATGATGAAGGAAAAAAAAAAAAAAAACAAGTAACAAAAATTCCTTCCCTCACTTTTGCAAACCATCAAATGCAGCGCATCTACTACGAATGTAATAATAAACAAACATAAACCATCAAGTACAACAACACATAGTAACTGAAGTGTAAAAATATTGCAAAAGATCATATGTGCCATACGCCAAATGTAAATGTAAATACCCGGCTGTCCCGCCGGCCACTCAGCTAGGCAGTCAGTCAGCTCTATTCAATCTTTTAGTTACAAGTCTACAATAGTATGCATATTCAACCGCAATGTTGTGGTATATTCATATTTACCAGCCGACCACCAAGCCAAACCAACTAAACCGAAGCCAAAGCAACCAAACTAAACCAATACTAGCGTTAGTGAAATGAAAAATCAACAAATTATTAGAAGAAGCAAAAAAAATAAAAAAATATAAAAAAATAAATAAATAAATAAATGAATAAAAAATAAAAACAAAAATACTAATCACACACGTATACACATATATACATATATATATGTGAATAGACAAGCAACAATAGAAACGACCAGAGTTAAATAGTAGTTACGTTCCTTCATAGACAACAACAGTAACAACAATAGCAATAACAAACAATTATAGGCGGGCGACTTTGTAATGCTGGTCGTTATCGTCGAATTTAAATGCGTATAAACGAATGAGTGTCTTCACATCTGCACGTATATATATATATATATATATATATATGTATATGCGAAATTCAAAAAGGAACTGTTTTCACAAAACAAAAACAAAAAAAAACTTCATACAATAAATAATCTTTTTTTTTTTCCAAATTAATTATGTTTTTTTTTTTTACTGCCTTTAATTATATTTTCGTGTCAATGGGTGTTTACACCAATTGTAACATGCATAATATTTTGAAATTTAAATAAAATTTAACAGAGAAACTTGTTACGTTCACGTAAAATTGCGATTTTACTCATCTGCCCCTTGCGTCTGCTTGCCATCGCGGATTAGAAATTA